GTAGTGCCACAGTTGAAGTCATTCACACCGGCTGTCCCAAAATAGCACCAACACTGAAAGTAGGAGGTGACACTAAATTTGCTCTGATGTAAACCGTAAACCTACAAACATTCACAGCATGCAGGGAGCACAAGACTATTATGCTGACACAGAACGTAGAAAAAAGGAGCACTACTATATCACTGTGGTGAAAGGGTGGTCACACTGAAGTCAGCAGTTTTGGTCCTGAGCTTCTCTCTCTGTCTCTCTCAGCCATGTTGATTTTCAAGGTTTCTTTTCGTATTGAAAATAATAATCCTTATTTGAACTTCATATCTAAACATTACTCACATATTACCTTCATGAAATGAGGACCGCGAACGGCCGTGCCAACAAAAGCAGCAATGCATGGAAATACAAAAGATAAAGGGGGAGAGATTTGCATTGCAGAGCTAACTGACACTACAGCACATCGAGGACACATGCAAGCACATACACAGGTACAAATACAGGCCAAAACAGACACTCCTACCGATTACCACATAACATAAGGATCAACAGACTCCTCCCTACTGCTGACAGGCACTGATAAAATTAAATACGACAACACTTCCTAATATATCACAGTAGCAGACGACATTTAAGTTTGCTTTAATAAAGTTAATGACCTCATGTTTCCTGAGAGCAGCTGCTCTGGGCCTAAAGAGTGTCTTACATATCTGATATTGCCCATTTTGTTCTCTTAAAATTACAACAAACAGAGCCTTGCGCAGTCTTGTGAATGTTACGTGGCCCTCGCCTTTTTAGAATAAAAGTTTATACTATGTAAATATTGTTAAAGGAACATACAGTTCACACAGACCATATATGGAAACGAAGAATGCATGTGATGTCATAAAAACCAATGCATTTTACATATATATCCACCAAACTCTGCCTACAGCAGTTTAGCTCCACCCTTTCACACTGAAGTTATAAGGAGTGTTTCAGCCCAGACTGCTACTCGTATGATAAACAACACAGGGCAGCCAATCAGAACAGAGGTCACTTATGTATATCAGTCTCAAAGGCACAGCAACAAAAACAGCATGTTTGATTCTAAGAGATAAAGCATGGCTGGAAAATGGTCATGTAAAAATTAAGTGTAGCACACAAACTTTATAACTGGACCAAAAAATAACATGAGAAGAATGTAGGATTTGGGCCCTTTAAGCAGACAGAAAGCCAGAAATCTTCTTAGTGTTTATGCATTTTCATGTGCTTTGAAAACAAAAGAACTGCAGGAGACATGCGTTGCAGTTAATTAAGGCTCTGTTATCCATCAGTACCACTTAAATTAAAAATCAGTACTGTTGTGCGACCAGTACTGGTATACATTACGTGTCATCCAGCACTGCTCCACACCTAATCATGACTGCCAACAAGCCAAAAGTTTAAATTCAGACATGACTACACAGTCCTAAGAATCCCTGCAGGTAAATTCTCTTCATACTAGCATGCAGAGCACTTTGCACGACCACATACATACTGCCCATACATACCGTGCATTCCAGAGCCAAACCTGAGCAGGAATGCCTACGGCCTTTAAAACTCCAGCTGAGTCACCTTCTCTCACACTCAGGGTTAAAGCTCTCCTATGATGTATGACATAGCAGTGCAGGCATAGAGTGTGAAGCATTATGTTTTGACGTTTTGAGTTATTGCTGGTGCAAAATGAACATGATATTATGCAGAAATCCAGAGACATTAAAAGTGTGAATAATCAAAAAATCTAATTTACATCATTTCCCCCTCAAACGTAGTTAATCGGCCAGGTTTATTCAATCATAAACCAGTTTATTCAGTATCCCCTTTTACTGTGAACCTAGTCATTTAGTAAAGACATGCCTGGTGTCTGAAGTTTAGTTCTGAAGTTTTGCTTGAAGCTTTAAGCAAAGAGGCTAATGTAGCTAATAAGTAATCAAGGTAGGTCACTCAATATCTTTTTGGGTGACACAGACTTTCACCACATTATCCACTAACACATGACACACTAAACGCCTTATTTTATATTTAGCGTCCACACTCTAAATGATTTGTTACGATCAAACATATAAAAGCAATAGTAAAAATAACTCAAATAGAATCCCACCAATTTTTCAAAATTTCTGCATAATTATTTTATTAAGATGTAAAGAAAGTCAGGCAGAGTGATTTGGTGTGAAACGCTCCATTCTAGGGAAACTTGCTTGAACCAGAATTGTTCACAGTGGTGGTGACAGGAACCAGATGTCCGAAGAATCACAGAAAGTTGTTACATGAAATGGTTATAAATGTGCTGCATTATGCTGGAGACGCTGTTTTATGATAGGTTCGAAATTAGATTTTGGCTTAAGACATACATCAATCTAATGAAATTAACTTTTTTGTTTAATTTTTCCACTATTTTGCCATTATCAACATTGCATATAAAAGCTCAAAAAGGCTCACTGGTCATTTTGGATAGCAAATAAATCAGCTATATTTGCATTGTGTCCCCTGGATCTCTTCACCACCACTGTAAAGAAACATAATTCACATTGAATTATGCAGAAATGTTGAAAAAATTTGAGGAATTCCTCCTAAATTCAAAAACAGAACATGTTCACCGCATCTTTATATCATTAAATATAAAATGTTGATATTAAATCAAAATAAAAATGGCAAATTTAATCAATCATTTGAGACTAATCTGATCATGCACAAAGCCTCGGCATGATTAATAAGTCCTTCACTGTGTCATTCTGTTACTCGCTCTCTACCTCAAACACAGACTAACTAACAGAAGAGACGTACACCGGAACCAGTCTCCATGACAACCAACCGTTTCTATGGCTACAGTCTGAGATACTGAAAATCAACAGAGACCAAGTCACTTCCTCTTGCACTTACAGAGTGTGTACGTGTGCATGCGCGTGTTTATGTGTGTGTGTGTGTGTGTGTGTGTGTCGGGTGTGTGAGGGACGAGTGCTGACAAACTAAAGTCTTTCCACACCAGGCCACTGCAGCTGCCTGAAGGTTCCACATTCTCCAGAAGATTGGGAAAAATACATATTGCACAATACCAAGGGGAGTCAGTGCTCTGCTGTGTCAACGAAGTACTGACTCACACAAACAACCCTGACACTCAAGGCCCTACTGCCATGGACTAAAGCCACATCAGCTTCTTCATTATATATAACAACCTGTAATGTACTGTAGTTATCCACTCCCTCTGACTGAAGCTTTCCCTTTCTTTGACGTTCTACTCAACCAAACCACAACTGGCCACAATCAAGATCAACTGCTGAAGCTAAAACTGGCAGGGACGCACTGCTATGGGAAATGTGGGGGCGGTGCCAATATCCCAATATTTTTCCGAGTGCACACTTGCTGATACCAATGCACATACATAAACATTATAAAATGTAGTAATCTGGGACTAAACCAACTTGGATTACTATTTTGCACATGTTTAACATAATTTGACAAGGAGGAGCCCAAACTTTTGCATGTGTGTACATCTAAAACGTCTGAGAGGACACTAGCTGCTTTAGAAAATTTAGTGCCTTAGCTGGCACCTTTTACGAAATAATGCCCAGTGTAAAACTACACATTATATGGACATAATATCCCTTACGTGTCGAACATTTAACATGACTTCTTGCATTTTAGCTAAACCAGTGGTCACCAACTCACTAGCTCCATCCTGCATCTCACATCCTGCCGCCCCCAGTGCAGGTCAGGTGGTCGTTTTTTCTGAAGAGGAACTCATTCATCCGACACGTTCTTGTGGTTTATGCGGCAGGTAAACAAAGGGTTTGTTAGCTGGTATTTTTGGCCTTTGGCATTTTTCTTAACTTAAACATAGCAGAAATAAGATGTGGGTTAATTGTATGTGTTTAAGATTTACTTCACCATTATCATTTACTATAACTGTACAATGTTATTTGATTACACTGACCGACTCTGCTTTTTCTTCATGATGAGAACAGTGTCAATTCGGGCTGCAGCGAAAATTTCATCGTATCATCCGACTCTGAAGGTGACCACTGTGCTAAACAATGCATCATTTCACATCCGAGCACTCTGGCTGTTTACCTCAAACATAGGATTACGCAGAAATTTACGCAGGTTTTAAAAAGGCATTATAGACTTTACAGGAAGGTAAACCTCTAAGACCAGGGTTGGTGACCACTGTGCTAAACAAGACCTAATGCATAATGCATATTATGGGGACATACAGGGGTGGGCAATAAGGCAAAAATATCATATCACAATACTTTATAAGACATTTTCACGATATGCATCACGATATTTTGAAACACACACAATGCACTAGTAAAGTCACATTGAAAAACTGCAATGAAACATGCCTACTTATACTCTTCTTTTAATAAAAATATGGACAATCTCCATGACATGCTCACAAAAGCATATTGCTTATCACAATGACATTTCTCATGATAACATATCTCACGAAATTGATAAAATATTGTCATACTGTCCACCTCTAGGGGCATGAAATCCAAAAATGAGCTTTTGACTATACTCTAGGATCCGGCTACAGTTCCAACCAATCAAGATGATGCCCACACTCTGCCATCCATCCTGGATCTGCATGTACTGCATATATAGCTGGTGAACCACCTTAAATAATCTACAGATCAACCAGCTATGTACTGTGATTCTTCCATAATTTAAATGATTCAAGAGTAACATGGAAATCAGATTATCTGGAAACAAAAATAAACCCAGAGCCTGACAAATAAACCTATCAGATTATCCAGACAGTCTATTTTTTGTCTTTTATGCAGGCAAGCAGTAACCTATAGTGGCATGTTGTGGAAACAGCAAACATCATTGCCAATGGTGGGAAACCGGCTCTGTCTTTACAGAACCAAAACGATTTGTCTTACTAACTGCTCCCACACCAGCACTGCTGCCTCTGTTAGTATAGCACTGGCTTTACTGTAGTTGGAATGATCTGATCCCATGCCAGCTATATAAAAGTTTTGGCCTACCGTTTAGCCTCCTCCAGGTGGCACAGATACTCATATGCCATGTTCTGCTGCCGCCGCTCGTCCATCTCTTCGGCTGTGAGCCGCTCCACTCCATCCAGAACGGCTGTACAACAGAGCAAAAAAGCATTTTCCATGATAAACTGTCACAATGTGCTTTTCTATCATGGTAATTGTCAACACTGAACAACTGCAAACATTATAATAAAGATGCATGCAAACAACAAACAGTGTACAGTAACTGTATAAAGTGCAAAATGTAGCTAGAAAGGAGCTAGAAGTGGCACTGATGCCAGGTATCAGTTTTAGGCCAAATGGGATATCACAGAGAAAAATAATGAATGTGTTCCTATCCTGTAACAAATCTGTACTGAAACTGCATGATGGCCTACTTTTACATGCTCATCTTAACTGAAGTGCAGTCTTTCCCACACATAGGCTGTGCTTGAACAAGTTTTTTCCCATTAGAATAATTTCCAACTGTCATTTTGTCCTATTTGAACAAATTTTTATATTGTTTTGTATAAAGAAGGTACACATTAAAAAATTAGAAGATAATGCACAACTTATTACCATACATTCTGGATATATGCATATGTCAGAATACAATTTAAACCCCCCAACCTATCCCACACATGCTCCCCACGCTCCCTCTGCTCTCCCCAGGGTTATTTCAGGCCTGTGGGAGACATTAAAGTGTTTCAATTAAAAACAGCTAATTTTAAAGGTCACCAGTTTATTAAGAAGAAATGCCACATTGGCATTGATGCTGACACTAAAGGTTTGAAAATCGGTATCAGAAAGAAAACCATGAACTTTTTTATTAATTTATTTTTACTAACAGTTTGTTTATTTGTGTTATTTAAGGCAACATACCTGGCCTTTTTTTCCCAAATGTGGTGCTACAGTTGTTCTGGTGCATTGTTTATATGCCTATTTGTTTGCAAAACTAAATACCATGATACATATAGTGTAGTGTGAACATGTCAAGCATGGTTATACTGTGTTTTTAACATATTGCACACCATTTGCTCAGACTAGGCCAATTGTTACATAATCACCTGAAAGCAATTACTGACGCTGATCGAAATCAAACTCAGCAGCTCATAGCTTTCACAACCATATAATTACGCTGACAATGAAGATAATATGATTCTGTGCCTTCTTACATTGTAAATAAAAGAAAGCAGAAAGCATATTTACTGAGACACGTCATGTGCACCAACTTCTAACACCATTCGAGGGCTGTGGTGGGTAATGTTTGTTTATTTGAGCCTGAGCTGTTTCTGTCAGCATCTGGGAGCCACTAAGTATCGAGAACTAGGAAGCAAGATAGCTAATCAGTGTCTGCACACTTTAGATTTGAACTTTAATTGTTGCAACCAATGAACAAAAAAGCCAGTTCAATTATTAAACACAATTATTTCTATGGCAGTTAATTGTCAGTGAAGGTCATGATCGTGACAGCCCTAGCTCACACACTCAAAATGCAAAAAGTCATGCGCCACCACAGCAACAAACCAGCATAAACAGACATAGCTATGACTGAACCTCTCTGAAGCGCTTTTATGAGGGCACGGGTGTTAGGAAAGCAGGCCACAACAATAGCGATGCATTGTTTGCTATAATAATCAAATTGAAACATCAAACACTTCATTCTTTAAACCGCTGTGCCATACACTAATTTACATCCAGGCTGCTTTGGGAGCCGATGCACTACGTATTACGTAACTTGGCTGCAGCGCCTGGCTTTTAGCTTCCTCGAGCTCTATGGTTCCACATGCTGAAATGATTTAGGGGCCTGAAGTCTTGTGGAAAGCCAACGCAAATCTATTCAATTCCGTGCTCCTAGTATTCCAGCCTAGAGATAAAAGATACATTTCATCCGAATATCCAATGAAACCTGGCAGAAACACATGCATTTTTCGGTAGGGCTCTTTGTAGTAGGAGATTGTGGTACAGAAGATAAAATGGAAATATACAAGTAATTTTTTATGGTGGAGGATGTTTTGAGCAAATATCCAAAGTAACAACTGGAATAATAGGTTTACCCTTTTCAGTGTTTTGCAGAACTTTTGGGGAACCATTTTCACACCAAAGTACAGTAACAGTACTTTACATATAAAACTCAGTAGCAAGTTGGCTAAAATATTTTCACATCAAAGTAATTTTGGACCATTTCTGTTTGTCTATTCCTCACAAGAGTTTGACACAGTGTTAAGGGAAGCTGATATTCCCAAAAGGTGTCAAAAAAGGCAAAACTGGAGATACAAGGTTTTGTCCTGACAGCATTAGTATCCTATGGGAAGGAGATTAACTTGCAAAGACTTTATAATGGGACAAAATTACCCAAACTGGAGGGGGAGCTTTTTATCCATTTATAAGAGCGCTCTAAAGGAGACAAAGAAAATATGAATCATAGGATCCTGATAGAGACCGAAAAAGAGACAGACAGACAGAGAGAGAGAACGAAAGAGAGGTGTGCCCCTTCAACCATCCACTAGCACTGTAGTAAAGGCCGGAAACACTGCACTCTTCCCGCCAGCGCTGCAGCTCAACATAAAATACAAAAAAATAAAGAAAGAGAAAATAAACACCAGCATGCTCCCAAAACATTTCTCTCTTTTTCTTTCAGAAAAGAGGCCGACTGACCTACCCTGTGACCTTACAGGTGCTAAATAGATTAGCACTGCTACTACAGATAAGCTCTTCATACCAGACCAAAGTTAAAGGACTGGTTCAGTGAAAAATCAAATTTCACAGTTTCCCCTCTTACCTTAAATGTAATCAACTGGCCAAGACATGGTTTGTGAAATTTGCTTCAGTTCTGCACTGGACCATGAACCTATGAGGCTACTATAACAGAAGCCTGGGTCACCTAAAATCTATTTTTGTAGCTCTAGTGCAAAACTTCAAATGTAAATTTGATTTTTTTTTCACTGAACCACTCCTTTAAGAGCCTTGCGATCAGAAATGTGATCAGTCAGGACATGCATGGCCTGCCTTCACAAAGCTGGGCTCCATTTTGGGTCAGATTTATGAATTAAACAGTTGCAATGTGCAGTTTTTTTGTTTTTTTTTTTTGTTATTACCAAACCAAACAACTTCAAGCACTTAAGTTTGATGAGGTTCAAGTAAAGGGTTAATGGTGCTAACCTGTCACCCAGAGGTTAAAAAGATGATCATTTTAGTTAAGAACTTTCATAAAAAGGAGAACAAACAGATGCAAACGTGTTTTAATAACTGTGAAAGAGCACTGAGGTGTTCAGAGACTTGAAACGCGGAAGTCCTTCAGCACGTTGATTCAGTGCAGCAGCAGCTAAAGTTACAAAAATAACACCAGGAGTGAAAAAACTGAGAGAAACTGAAAGCCTGAGCGCTACATTTGCGAGGTTTTGAAGCCTGGAGGAGCTTCCTGAGCTCAGCCAAAGCCCTGAGTGGAGACAGTTAGGCTCCACACACAGCGGCGATACTCACAGCCATATCGTGGGCGCAGCGCGTCATTTTCATCCGAAGTTGACATGTTTTACAAAGTTGCCCAGTCAGTGCTCCTCTCTCTCTCACTCTCCCTCTCTTGGGCGTTTCTCCTCCGTGTAGATGCGTTCACTTTTCTGATATTTCCTTCTCCTCGGACGGGCGAAGGCGCCTCTCTGGCCACCTTAGTTCCTCGCTGCACTGCACGGTCTCCTCCGAAACTTTCTGGGGTTTTTTTCTCTCTCTCTTTTTTTTTCTTCAAAGCTCAGAGCTCTGGGTGTGTTCCTGCCTCAATCCTAAAGTATGCGCTCCAGGAAAGAGGCTGAGCTGAGAGGGACTGCAGCGCCCCCTGCTGGACACTCAGAGGAACATCCTGAGAGAATAGGAGAGGAGGACGGTCAGGAAAAAGAGGAGGATACTACTGAAGACGCAGCAGAGAGGAACACAGTGATAAAATACAAGAGGATAAAGGAAATCACTGATGAAGATACACGGAGAGAAATACAGAGGATGGCACTGTGGAGATAATGACTAAATATGAGATACTAAATACCTAAAGGAAAAATCCACCGATTTCCAATAACTAAAATAAATAAATGGTTAAGCAGTAAACAAAGTTTACCTTGTTTTCGAGTGTCACTTTGCCCATTGGAACTGAGTCACAAGGGGTAGTGGTTGAAATCTTCCCCACGAAATGGGACCCTCAAATAAAGAAGAGCATTACTTCATTAACAGCTACCAGCGCTGCTCTGTAGGCGACCCTGCCAGTCTGCAGTGATAGCAGAGGAGGGTAGTTCAGCTCCTCACTGCTGGACTTAAGTTACATTTAGGGAATCATATGTCTTAAAGAGGGGGGGGGGGTGCAATTATTTATTATCACCCACCCCTAATTCTTCAGTGATATGAAGCTGAAGTCAGTAATTTGCAGCTTCTTGTTCAAATTTTCCCGTTCCACCTTAAATGGTGGGACAGGAAATTTAGCGACCGAGACATCAGCATAATACTGGTGATTTTTTATGCTTGTTACGAAGAAAAGGACCCATGATACATTGAAGCGGCATTAAACTAAGATAATACAATGGTTATCACATTTTTTATTTGAGAAAATGCTCACATTTGTGTTTCGGTCGCTCGCGCAGCCATCCTGCCAGTTTTTCTGGGTTTGTCATGACGCTTCGTTTGGAGTGCGTCTCTGAAAAACATGTAGCCCAACCCGTCCATCTCAACAAAAATCGGGACACCCTACCCCGTAGGCATGAACGCAGAAAACAGGGGTGGGGCTAAGTGGTAGGGGCGAGGGGTGAAATCGATTGGGCCAAAGTCACTCAGAGTGGTCTGATAGGAAATGCTCTATTGAAGAGAATTAATGGAGAGTCAGTTGTTGACAGTGGTGGTGATGGGAACTAGATGTCCGAAGCGTTTAATGCCTCCAAAAGCAACTTCACGGAGAGTTATTATGGAAATGAAATGGTTATGAATACGCTGCATCTTCACTGAGACCTTGTTTTATGATAGCTTTGTGATAAAGTTTTGGCCTGAAATGTACTTTTTAAAATCCATTCACGGTGATTGTTCACAGTTGAGGTACATGCAGGACATTTTAAGGCAAAATAGACCCAAAAAAAACTAGATTCATCACTTTCACTTTTTATCAGTATTTATCAACACTGCATGTAAAAACTCTGTGTGTAGGTTCACTAGTCATTTTGGATAGTAAATAAAATGGCTATATTTGTGTTGTGACCCCTGGTTCCCATCACCACCACTCTAAAGATATTAGAGCTTCAGTAGTGCCACATTTCAACAATACTGTCAAAAACGATTAATACAATGATTTTCATTGTGTTTCACATACAGTGCTGCCCTAAATCCAGCTAAACAAGACAATATCCACGACATGCTGAGAAAAAGATATTATGATGTAATTGATCACGATAACAGTATTGTCATATTGCCATCCCCTACACTGAAGAAGATGCTAAGGAAGAATAAAAATAAAATAAAATAAAATGAAAATTAAAATACAAAAATATTGAGAAAGATATTAGAAAAATTAAGGAAGATTTTTAAAAAATGTAAGCGTTCCATTACAAAACATATTGCAAAACACTTTAACTTTTTTGTGATCTACATTGTTGGGAAAGAGCTTTGCACATACATTTAATACCACTTTCATTAGTGAAATAAAATATGTTTTCCATTATATGTCAGCTGTTATACTCTTCAAAATTGTGTCTTATTCAAAATTGTTTTAAACAGATATACAGTATTTTGGAGTTAATTTCCTCATATAAAGGGGAAGATATGACATTTATATATATATATGTGTATATATATATATATATATATATATATATATATATATATCAGTGATTATTGCTGAGTTACACTTTAAATTACAGATGACCTTCTCAGCATTCTCGATCTAGGTCTCTGTCTCACTACACAGCATTTCTTTCTTATCCAGCTAACTTTAAGCTTAGTTTGATCTAACTCTGATGATCATGGTGTCATCATGGTTAACCATCATAAATGCTTCACTTTCTACATATTTAGGTAGAAGTTGAACCACCTTTGACCTCAGCTCCACTACTTCTTGTTGTCCAACTGCAAGCCAAAAGAAAAGCCACACCATCACCACAAAAAAAAACTTTATTTTTAAGCTTATCTCTTTTTCTTTTCTGTTTTCGGGATCCAGAAGTGTACATTCTTTTTAAAGAAAAATCAGTTTCTTTCTTCCCCTTCACTTAGGCATCTTACAACATAATGTTATAGCAATAACCCAGAAGTTTTCTAGCGGTTCCCCTGGTGGCCACGGGGCCCTAAGCAGCTGCTTGTGTTGCTTTTTGGGTAGAGTTGGCACTGTATGTATTATAAGGCTGCTGTTTGGCCTGTTACGACTAAGGCCAGTATTAAAACACATGACTCAGCCTAAAGACCCGGACCATAATAAAAGGATGAAACCATTGTGGTGTCCTACCTCTTTTCAGTCTGGATAGATTTTCTTTGCAAAAGCCAAATGCTAAGCTCAACTTCCTGTTTTAAACTGTTTAATAGTGAAACAAAAAGCATTCAAGCATTTTAGAAAACACACAGTTCTCAGTTCCTTAATACTGATAGAGCCACATATGGCTCTGTGTTTGTGTTCTTTTCTCTCATACATGCAGTCATGCATTTGTGACTGAATACATTTCAGCAGGACTCTTGACCGCACAGTGTTTAGCAATGCTGCAATCTGAGACATTATTATGACTACAGGCTTTGAGAGATTGTACGCTTAAAGGAAAACTTCAGCATTTTTTAACCTCATCTCAATACCACAGACATTTTTACATGTTTCCCTGTACTCACAAAACAACCTGTTGACTCAAGCACATTTATAACAGATGAGGTAGCTGCCTCTTCTGTGGAGTTTTGCAGCCCTTTAAACACTGAATCAGACCACAGTAATACAGTGTTTTAGTTCAAACTGTACAGATGAAAAATAAACCGGAGTCACACCGATTGATCGTGTGACTATTTACATAAAATTCAATTGTATGTAATTAGATGCATTTAATTTATTTACATATTATTGTAGTATGCTGAAGTGTATAACAGTATATGGAAAAAAAACATTCTTTCTTTAATATTAGCAGTATAATAAGCACACAGCATACAGGGTTTTGCGCTATGACAGAGAATTACACAAAACTGTGTAACTGTAAAGTTGTATCTTGAGAGATAACTGGACTCAAAGGGAAAACTTTCACTTTAAAATCGTAAAGTTAGCTCTTTAATATAGTAAATATAGAAGTACATGTTCATAGAGTTCCTGTATTTGGAAGAAAATTGCAGTTCATAGATCTACTGTACATCTTTATTCCTTTACAGAGAGTTTAAGCATATTATTCCGGTTTTATTCAGTTTACACTGGCTTCCTGTTAAGTTCACATTGGCTACAAGCTCTTGCTTATGACATTTAAAGTCCTCAATGGCCTAGATCCAGCATATCTTACTGACCTGTTTAAGTGCTGACCGCTGCTAGGCAGGCTTACTGTAAACATCTAGGATCTCTTACAGCTCAGTTGGTTGTGGATCATTCCATTATTTAGCTTCCAGAAATAAAAGCTGTTACAGTTTGGGTCCTTGGTTGTCACAGTATTAAAGCCAGAATAGAATCATGTCATTTGCTATAAGTGAGAGGTAACTGGTGAACAATGCAGCACACTGGTAATGTCTGCTGTTGAATAGCTCTGCATAGAAAAGCAGTCTGCCTATTACAGCCCATGATGCGGAGCTGGAGGGCGGGGGCTTCGCACTTTATAAAGCGAGCTTTGGGCCGGAGTGAGACCGTTTGAGTGGGTTTTGTTGACCTCCCACCCCTCAGTGTGTGTGTGTGTGATAGCTGAGTGTGAACAGCGCGTCTCAGGACCATGGAGAGCTCAGGGCTTCTCTCTGCACTCCTCTTCATCGCTCTGTTCATCTTCATCTGCAGCGGGCAGGCTTCACCTGAGATATCTGCAGAGGATGGCAGGAACGCCGAGGTGACCCCTGAGAAAGAACTGGTAAGTAAAGATGATTTACCTACAGGAGCATTACAGAACTAACAAATGACTTAGCATCAAACATGATGATATTTACAACATTTAGTGTCGAGATATGATTATTTAGCATGAAGCTTTTACATAAATTAGAGATGATTTAGTACTAAAACATGACTTAGCATCAAATATTTATAAAATATCGAAGTAAGTGCTCCTCATTTAGCACAGTGGGTTACTGGATTGTGATAAGGAAGTTGTATGAAAGACAGACAGACTGATAGATAGATAGATAGATAGATAGATAGATAGATGATAGATAGATAGATAGATTTTGTTCATCTAAGTAACAATGTATTATATGTATTGCAGATTGAAGCAATGGAGGAACTTCTGGGGAGATTTCAGGACAAACTGCCATCCACAGAGAAACGAGCCATTCCCAGGGCAAGTACTGCTTACATTTCTTCTTCCTCTTCTTGTTCTTGTTCTTCTTCATTTTCTCCTTTTACCTCTTCTTTACATCCTCCCGATCAATCTTCTTCTTCTTTTTGTCCATCTCATGTCCTGATGATGATGACGATCATCATCAGGACATGAGATGGACAAAAAGATGATGATGATGATGATGATGATGATAATGATCATCTTCTTCTTCTTCTTCTTCTTCTTCTTCTTCTTCTTCATTCTCTTCCTCTCTTCCTCATCTTCTTTTATTCACTGTGCTCTTCTTCATCTTCTTTTTCTTATTATTATCTTTATATCTTTATAAATTCACAGTAATACTCAATACAATTCAAAAAGAGTTTCTCAAAATGTTCTGTTATAAAGTACTAAATATTTTGAGTTAATTATGAAATCTAAACATTTTCTGTTTAGTGTTTGGTTGGGTCTCGCTGTGCGATGAGGTTGGGTCCACGCTTCGGTCCGCTGTGTGAATGCAGCCGAGGAAGCTACTGCAACTCGATCCTGCTCAAGTGCATCTGAAGCTCCAGCAGAGTCTCTGAGCTCCATCACTGCCTGAACTACACCACTGCACGCTTTGGCATACGAGATACATTTAGGGGGATATTCTAACAGGAAATGTGTTGCATTTGGAGATTTTTTGCCTTATTTAGCTAGTGAGCATGAGTTTTCGGTTTTTGTCTGTTTGTTTTTTAGGGCTTATGCACTTGGTGGTTTGCTTTCTTAATAGTCTCTTGTAAGTAAAACTGTACAACATTTGTGTAGTTAACAACACATGAAAAACACAAATTTAGGAGTTTTTTTTTGACTACATTCACTGTAGAATTAGTAAAGAAGCAATTTAGACACATCTTCATCACACAGCTTTTAATGCATTCAAGCTTCTCTCACTGCAGTTTCTGAGTTTTTCAGAGGGAGCAATACAAATGTTGTACCTTCTAGTGGTTTCCACTGTTTTACAGGTTGTTGATTGAAAGCTTCTGTTGCTGAAGCACAGCAGCTTGACAGCTGGAGCAGTTCTGAATAGGAACAATGGATGGCATGTAACACTGAAGTAATTATATAATATAGAGTAATCTTTTCACAATAAACACCTGTTTTCATTTACTCAGCACTTGAATTGTCCTTATCATTATTTAATTTAGTGCTGAATTTGCTTTGTCTTTCTACAGATCTCCCACTTTGAGTGGCTCTTTAGTTTAGAGAGATGCTCTATTCTTACAGCTGGTCGGCACAATTATTAATTCATGGTCTATTATTCCCTTAACATCACAGTCAGGAGCAGGAACAGCACTGCAGCCCCAGGACTAATCCTGAGTGTATTAACATGGAGCAATGCAGAACAATGCCGTGTGATAGTGTGACTGTTTGGAAAGCTCTACTGTTCTTTATGCAATGCCAGAGAAGGACCACCTTTGGTTCTCTAAAGAACCTTCCAATGGATGGCTCTTTACAGAACCATTTTTATACATGAGATGAAGTAAACATTCTAGGAAGAAGAGTTAAAGGGGAATTCCACCACATTTTCAAAATAGTGTTAATAATAATTTAAAAATAGCAATAATAATAATTTCAAAATGATGACGTTGGTTTGATGTGCTCAATTCTTGAGAAACTTACTGACTCAAAATTGTTCACAGTGGTGGTGATAGGAACCAGATGTCCGCCACTAAAACCTTCTTCACAGAAAATTATCACATGCAGTGGTTATGAATGCACTGGATGATTTCATAGCCATTTTTTTATAATAGTATTGATAAGCCCTAAAACATATTTTATAAAGCTATTTAGACTTTAGAAATATGTCTAAAATATATCTTTAAAACGCATTAAAGACTGAGAGGTACATGCAAGGTGTTCTAAGGCAAAATAGTCCCCATAAATGTAATTTTTAAGATTTAAGATTATTTTACCATCATCAACTTAACATATAAAAACTCAGGAGACAAGTTTAGGTTCACTGCTTGTTTTTGATAGTAAATAAAATGCCTATATTTGCATTGTAGACTTTGAGACCCCTGGTTTCTATCACCACCACAGTAAAGTATCAGTGTCAGTAAGTTTCTCTACAGTGAATCATTTCATACCAGTCCATTCATCCACATCTCAATGACTGAATTATACAGACATTTTAAAAATCTGTGGAATTCCCTTTTCAGCTGGCATGGAACAATTACATTAGGTTCTTTAAATATTTAGAGATATTTTCCTCACATGCACAAATCTCCTTTTTAAATGTGGTGAGGGAACCAAAAGTGGTTCTTCTATGGCATGCCCAAAGTATCCTCTGTGCCATTTTTAAGACTGTAGTTCCAAGGATTAGCCTGCACTCTTAAAAAAACTGCTACTAAAAGGTTCTTGGCTTGGAAGTATTGTTCTATCCGAGGTCTTCCACCAATTTTCTGAATTTCTGTGCAATTCAGTTGAGATGGGAACATGGTCATTCAGAGTGGTTTGATGTTAAATGGTTAATTGTAGAGGACTCAGATTGACTCAGATTTCTTAGGAACCAGGGGTCACCATGTCTACCACACAAATATAGCCATTTCATTTACTGTCCACAACGATCCATAAACTTACACGTGTCTACTGGGTTTTTATAAGTCATGATAAAAATGGTAAAATCTGAAAAAATTGGTTTACTTTAGGGGCTACTTTGCCTTACAAGGCTCTGCATGTATCTCTCCTCCATGAATGGACTTCAACAATAGGTGACACTTTATTTTAAGTGATCCTTTTAGATGAAACAAACACTCAACAGACTCTCAGTAACATGTTAAAAACATATGAGGGTGAGGGTTAGGTTTTGGGTTGAGGTTAAGGTTAGGGTTAGGGTTAGGTTTTGGGTTGAGGTTAAGGTTAGGGTTAGGATTAGGGCCAGGGTTAGGTTTTGGGTTGAGGTTAAGGTTAGGGTTAGGATTAGGGCCAGGGTGAGAGTTACGTTTTAGTAAGGTTGGCAAGGTTGGGTTTTGCGTAATGGAAGTAACACATTAACAGTACATCTACTTAATGTAAGTAATGTATCAGCAGAACATCTTCAAGATATTTGCCTCAGTGTATTCAGCCTCACTACTGCTCCTTCACTGATATGCTGTTGATGTGTTACTGATAATCTGTCCACTCCACTCCAAATAAAGTGTTGCCCAAAACATCAGCTTCTCTCAAATCTCTCTCAGGCAGAGTAGTTGTAACCATTTTAAGTAAAAGCTTTCCAAGAATCAGTTTAAGGATACATTAAACTCTTCAGACGTCTGGTTCCTATCTCCACTGTGAACAATTCTGACTTGGTCTGTTCCTCTAAAACAGAGCATTTCACATCAAACCACTCTGAATAACTGTTTACATCGGTTTATTTATTCAGATAGTGATAATAAATTATATTATATGGACCATCTTAAACTGTAAGAGTCCTCGTGCCCACAAAAAATCATGTTTACAAAAATGGTTCTTTAAAGATCCATCCACTAAAAAAAATTGTTAATCGTTCTTCTATGTTGACAAAGAACCCTTTCTAGCACCTTTTTTAAGATTGTGCCACAAAATAATCATAATTTGCTAAAATTCACTGTTAGAAATAAAGGTTCTGTGCAGGTACATTTTCGTTCATCAAGGTACAAACAATGTAAATGTTCCCAAAGGTACAACAGTGGTTTTAAGGTCCAATTGTGTACCTTAAGTAAGTTTTTTTTCCAGTGAAAAAATACATATTTGTGCCTTTTCATAAGCGAATGTTTTAAAACAGAACAATAAAATGAAAAGCCTGGAGACGAGACGGGGTGTGTGGAGTCAGTACAGCTTAGACAATATAATTTCAGTGGATTATGGTTCAGTTATGTTCCCTGACTAAAGGTACTGAGATGAACCCTTGAGGGTACCAGCCCAGTGACAGGAGGGGAACTGCCCCAGTGACTGTGTTTTACCTTTTTTTCCAAGAGTGTATACTGTATAGGCCATAAAACATAAAAAGCAGCACCACTGACCTTTGCTTGTGAGATACATTATATGTTAGCATTGAAATGGACTGCATAGATTTTAAATGACTCAATTTGGTCTGACTGTGATCTGGATAGCAAAATATGGTATGATTGAGTCTGGAAATATAAAGGCAAGTGTTCACTAGAGAATGAACTGTGCCAAATGAGGCAAATCAGAGATTTGAATCACTGACTAGTGGGCTACGGCCCTCCGAGAGATGCAGCAGGATCGATTTGAGCTATAGGCATACATGCAGCAAATCTTTAAAAGTCAATAAGCTATGAAATGACTCCTTTAACGCGTATGTGTTTTTGCTTCAGGGAAAACAATGCCTCTCCAGCCAGGCATCATTTCAGACAATGCAATAAAACCAAATCAATACGGCGCTGCATCTTTTTGTGTTATAGGGCTCTCTTGCTGACAGACATGGATCCAGGGCAGTAAGGTTTACACGTTTCTCTCCTTATTATTGTTTATCAGGGTAAAAACCCAGGGGCCTGATAAAAGAATTTATAAATCGCCCCGTCATAAGAAAGAAGACCACGTATTTGCTATATGGTAACTATAAGAAAAGGGAAAAAAACATTCTTGACTGTATCCATTCTGCAGGGGCTGTAGTAGCCATTCCATCGTCAGAATGGAAATCAACTCAGATAGGTTTAATTAATATAATCAAATATATATTCTTCCCTGTAACTCTATTATCAGATGAACTAGGACACTCTTGGTTCTCTGTGTGCGAAGTTTTGTGACTGGGTGTAATGATGGGTTAAGGGGGAGGGGTGATAACCTTCTTCGGTGAAAACAATTCACAGCAACTATAAGCCACAAAGAAACACAAACTTCCACAATAAAAATAGCATTTAAATGCAATTAAAACACTTTCTTATACGTTGACTTGCTTGTTTGTTTATAGAGTTCACTTCCGGTTTATTACCTTCACACAAATGTGTTCCATTAAAGTTACTAAAGAAGAAAAAGGCATGAGGGACGTCCAAAACAGGTGGAAATTGTATTGTATGGCTACTGTGAAAGAGTTTAAATACAGTGATGCACAGAGTAATTGTGGGCCACACGGTGTAAAAGGCAGCTGCTGTGTTCAAATATGTAAAAATAATAGAAATAATATAAAAGGTTTTACTATGACAAACGATGAAAAGATATCCAATGCATCTATTCCTTCGCCCCACTGACCAAGAACAAGAATAATGTCCTTCTCTCCAATTAGTCAGTGAAAGCAGCACACTGCACCTAATTAGACCATTCCTAATTTCCTAAAAACCACAATAACAGGTAATGAAACAAAGAGCAGCAGAGATCTGTAAGGCTGTGCACCCAGCCTGCTGTTAGCCAGGCTACGCTACAGTTTTGAAGTGTTATTAAAAGGCAAATGGAGTATGAATGCTCCCTTTGAGGCCTAATAAAGGCCGGTTTGCCTACAGTTAGCTGCTCTCTGTAGACTCAGGCCTGCCACGACTCCGTACAGCCTGCTGCTAAACACAGAGGCCCCAGAGCCTCCCTGATTACATTACAGCTCACTAAAGGAGACAAGAGGAGCTTTGTGTGTTAATGACTGCCCTGATAAAGCTATGCTCTCTCTCTCTCTCTCTCTCTCTCTCTCTCTCTCTCTCTCTCTCTCTCTCTCTCTCTCTGAACTAGCTCAGAAGCTCATGAGATGGTGTTAACAGTGTTAAGCAGCACAATGCATTTTTTAAAGTCTCACCTGGCCAATCTAAGAAGGCAAAGCAACCATTTATTATCTTTGATGCAAACTTCTCAGCTTTCAGATTGAAGAGTGTTACTGCATTTATTGCTGTTTTCATTCCCCATAATGTCTTGATGGGTGAAAATTACGAATAAATCTGATCGTACGATATGACTCTTTCTTTTCCGATACCAATACAATACATTGAGCACTAGCTGATCTACACAGGTTGAGCTTTAAGAGCTTTAAAATGAGCTATTTAGCTATTTAGTTAATTGAAACACTTTGCTTAAAAGTGCTACTAAAAGAACCACACTCAAACGGCTCAGCTGCTCACTCTACTATTATACAGGAAATGTGCAGCCAAAAATATGACTAATCTAGGGTGTGACCTTGTGATATCGCTATGCAAAGATGCAACACTGTGCGATGTGGATA